CCCGGGACGTCGGGCTAGCGATTTTGCGAGCCCTGATACTGAATATACCATGGTTCAGATTCGATTGAATATAAATACCCTTTTGTGTTAACTGTGAAATGGATACTGTATGATTACTGTATTTAAATTGCAAGTAGATGTGCTACAGACCAAGTAATCTTATTATTTTGTGCCAAACTAGGTTTCCCCGACAGAATTTGTTTCCCCTGCGTCGGGAGCATTCACTGGCCTTTCAAAATCATAGACAAACAGTATCCCACATTCGTGATTTTTAGCTCATCAACACTTCAAAATTTCATCAAAATTTCAAAGTTCTTTTTTATGATTTTTTTTCTTTCAGTAATATCATGATAACTGGCTGTTATTTGAGAGTTTTGGAGAGGACAGAGTAGGGCTGACGGTTGAAAGTCACAAGCACTAGTGACTTTCAACTTTTTTTTGGTAAACATATTGCACACACAAGTATATTGACGCCTCAGCGTCCACCTTTGTTGTGGTGTTCGTCACGGGAAGCATGGCAAAATTTCTACAACAAACCGATTTACATTAGGTGGTACTCATTTGTAATGGAAAATCAGAATCAGAATACTTTATTAAGGCCTGAGGAAATTATGTGGTTACAGTTGATCAAAAACAGCAATGGTAACAGGCTGAACTAAATTCAATAATACAATATATTACAAAGTTAGAAAAGAAAAGAAAAAGCTCCAATATATAGAAGTAGCTCAATAATAAATATTTAGAATATTACAGAGATTAAATATATAAGACTGACATTTTGTACTGTAAACCGTAAAACCTGTTATTTTCGCTGTAGAGTGTGCAAAAGGGTGTACCTATTGCACTGTGAGCGGTGCATTAGATGGACCCTAACCCATAGAGGATGGCACTGGCCCACCCTTGCACTGTGGTAGCTGAGATAGACATCCTACCATCCTACTCTTGGATATAGATATTGCTGGATTTATATAGCTGGAGTTTTAATTGTACAATTTGTCAGCAAAATGATAAGTAACATCAGCTTTAAATAAATAAATGGTATGGTGATCTCTCTTTGCAGGCAAAATTTAAGCTGCCACGTTTCGTGCAATTGGGAGGACTCGAGACCTCTCCCTCCAGTCCATTTAGGATTGGTCTGTAATCACACAGGCACAAACAGTTCTGTCAGACCAGTCACATCTCCGTCACCCTGAGAACGAGCTCTTTCCTTCTGACGGAAACAGATTCCCAAAATGCATCTGAATGCTTTAAAAATGTATTTTTTCCAACAGGAATCAAGCTTTTGAATAAAAGTTATTTGTAATATGAGTATATACTAACTAGTATGTTTGTAATTATAAATAAACAATTTTATTTTTTTAAAAGCATCTATTTATTTCTTTAATGTTTATTGACTCTGTGACGGCAGCATTTGTGGCAGTACTTGAGTCCACAACAAATTTCCCTAAGGGGACAAAAAAATCCATCATATCATGTTGTTACTGTGCTTATTTATGAGATGCCACAATTACAACTTATTTACTTTATAACCAGAATAATTTAGTCAGTTTTAATTGGATACACACAGTGTTCATAGTGTAGTGTTCAAAGGAAATCTTACTTATACTTATTTTTTTAAGCCATAAGGAGGTTTGCTAAACTCAGAATCTCCTCTAAACTTCACTCTGACAACAGTCATGGTCCATAAATGATCCCATTGTAGTTCTGTGCACATAATAAATATAAATGTGCTCTTTGCACTGATGTCCTATATACACTATATGTCCTAGTTCCACCTTTGTGTTTCTGTCTTCTGTCTTCTGATGTTGGACTGTGTTTTCTGTTAAGCGGTGATATATATTGTCATATCGCACAGCCCTACTCCCCAATCTAAAATTGGTTAGTTGTCTCAGGGCAAGAATACACAATAAGGATACCAAAATGTCACAGTTTCCTATATATACTGCTGTTTATATAGCATTTTTCTATAGAGCACTCAAAGTGCTTTATACTACATGCCACCTTCACTACATACACATTCCTACAAGCACTTTCTCTACATCTAAGTGCTTTCCTTCTAGAGTTCACACTCTGCCACAAGCGATTATTTTGATAGTCGACTAGTCACCGATTATTTTTGCGATTAGTCGACTAATCAGATCATCATCCACTGAACGTAAAAGGTACAGCTTATTGCACCAGCAGCATCTGCTCTTATATAACTATCATTAGCTTACAGCTTAAAGTGTTTAAGGTCTGTGCTAACTAAAAAGAAAGACAAGATGATAGTTTATTAAACTCAATGAAATTGTTTCGGTGGAGTTTAATAAACTCACCCTTCTGCTCCAGCAGAAAATATGTCAAAAGTTCATTAAGTTAAATAATAAAACACTGAAAGTTACATTATTGTAACTGTGATGCATTCACTGACATATAAAGAGAACAGAGAGGCTCTGCTTTGTGCTTCTATTCTCCTCCTGTGTGTTTGTGTGTGCAGAGTTTCTACCAGAGCCAAATGTCATCGACTCCTCACTGAAGTCGTCCACCAGTCCAACCACTGGGATCCAGCTGCTGCTCTCTAACTGGTCCACACAGCAGCTCAGACCTGACACATTCACTGTAAACACACTGGTTTATATTCTGTTTGTTCTCCTCATGAAGGAAACCTCACACAACCACACAACCAAGTTCAAATGGAAAGTTATTATTATTTCTTTTATAAAGAAGCTGGAAAAAACTTTCTTACACTAGTTTTTTAGTTTTTATATTAAAAAAATAAAAAAAATTTTTTACCAGGCCTTTCAGAATAAAAGCATGACCAAGACATCATTTATACATAAACGGTAATAAATGGTATGTAACTAAAATGTAGATGTAATCCATGTTTTCGTGTCTTCAGTAACTTTGCTGTTATTTATGTTATTTCTAAGTGTGCTGTCGTCTCCACAGCAGTGATCTGGTTTCTCTGCAGGTTCAATAAACTTTGGTCTCACTTGATCTTCTCGTGTGCTTCTGTGGGTTTCACAAAGATGTCTGATGGAAAAACGTTGTTTTCTTTTCCTGATGGGAACATAGAGCCAGTCCTAGATTGGTCACTGACTCTGTAAATACTGAGGTACGACCATGAACGCAGCTTTCTGAGTCCTCGTGCAAAGTCCTGGTTGAGCCAGTTACACCGACA